TGCAGGATGTTTACTTAGGGCAGGATGAGGGTGGGATTCTGTAAACTCAGCCTCAAGACGTTCCAGTGAGATAGTCAAGCCTATTATGTTGAGAGACTTAACTTTTGGCTCCCGACATGTCTTACAGACTTGTCTGCCCCATTGGCTTTGAACTGTGATACTCATTCAGATCTAGGTTGAGCCACCAGCACTCAGCTTAGTACATATGTCTTTTTTTTGGTCCGGTTGTGGGGCCTGAACTCTGGGCCTGGGCACTGTCCCTCAGCTCTTCAGCTCAAGGCTAGCACTCTACCACTTAAACTACAGCGCCGCTTCCGGCTTTTTTCTTTTTGCTTATGTGGTGCTGAGGAATCGAACCCAGGGCCTCGAGCATGCAAGGCAAGCACTCTACCACTGAGCCACCTTCCCAGCCCAAGTACATATGTCTTTATGGGCATAGCCATTATACCCTTTAAAAAGTTGACATAATTGGGCTAGTTTGGTTCTGAGCATAAATTGACTTAAGGCTATAATCTTAAGTGATAAGATCTGTTCTCAGCAAGACCTTAAGAACTAGTTCCCTGAATAAAACTCTACTTATCCACTTTCAATGAATGATGTGTGGTCCAAGAGCATTCCCTCATCTAACCTAGCAACAATGGCCCACAAGCAGCCCATTTGGGGCTTACAAAAGCAAATCAACTTAGGAGTTCAGGGACATTGAGCCAAAACTCCTACTGTGTCCCAATTCCAGTTAGGAGAACTACATTTCAAAAGCTTCCCTTCAGAGTTCATGAATGTAAGATTAATTGATGGTACTTCTGTATCAGCATAGTGGACGAACACCAGGCTGGAAAGTACAAGTTGTTTACTGACATGCGCTATCAAAGAAAGTTGAGACTGTCACACCATAACTGCTAGAAACCGTTTTTTTCTGTCCAAGAACTGACTGGATTGACAAGACTTAAACACTAGCAAAACCCAAAACACAACCTTTTGTTTGGTGAGTAGCGTACACTAAACAAGGGCTCTACCCCAATGGTGTTTTTTTTTTAATTATGGCTAAGAATTTTATTATCAAAATTATTACATCTCTTGTGAAAGTTCAAATGTTACAGCAAGGTGTAAATACTCCACTTGAGAAAGAAGTGATACTTCTTTCATTCCAAGAGTTCCCCCTCCCCCCCGCGCGCCCCTCCCCCCATGGTATTTTTTGAGACAAGGTCTAGGCTGCCCAGGCTGACAAACTCCTGGAAGCCCAAGGATTTCCTGCCTCAGGCGCTCCAGTTGCTCCCAAATACATTGACATTAACTATAAAACATGACAGGTATTAAAAATAGTCACTGTTTGCTAATTCCTACAATGTGCAAAAGCAGTAACTTCACTTGGAATGAATGTTGATAAACACTTTAGCACTCTTAATTACCTAAGATGTGTTGGGTGGGAAACAGATGTTTAGGTAGTCCTGCATCACTTAGTTGCTCCCTGATTAAAGAAAAAAAAATTTGCATTCCAATCTCAGGTTTATTCAATACAATTCTTTATTCTACACAACGAAGTACAAACACAATCTTACCTAAAATGTTACCTGTCAGGAGCCCTAAAGGGAGTCTCTCTGCATGATAGGCTTGACTATCTCACTGGAAGATCTTGAATCTGTTTACAGAATCCGGTCTTTTTGTCCTGCCCCAAACAAATATCAGGTAGCTGCTAACGACCACCTTTTCACACTGCCCGAAGCAAACATCCTGCAGCTGCTATGGCCAGTGAAAAAGCTTCCTTATTCTAAGCATATAAATACCCTTGTGTGAAAAATAAAAATTGCAGCTTGATCAGAATCCTTGTCTTGCTGTCATTCTTCGTGTCTCTTGTCCCTTCATTCCTTCTCGCTTAGGTTCATTGCCCTCGTTGAAGTCCTGCAGGTCGGGACAACTGGCACCCAACGTGGGGCACGAGCCTCTGATTAAGGAAGGAACGCCGTCCTCCGGGAAAACTTGGCCAAGTACAGTCCGAGATCACGAGATCACCTCGACAGACCCCGAGGAGAGACAGATCCAGGAGGAGAGTGGGGACGACGCAAGGTGAGTGACCCACCATGGGACAAGCAATCACATGATCTATTTCTGTCAAACCTCAAGGAGGCCTTCAAGACATGGGGAACGTGGGTTAAGAAAAGGGATTTAGAATTATTTTTCTCATTCATAGAGGACTTGTGTCCTTGGTTCCCCTTTGAAGGAATCATAGATGCAAAAAGATGGCAAAGAGTAGGAGATTGTTTAAAAGATTATTATGAAAACTTTGGTCCGGAAAAGGTTCCTGCTACCATGTTTTCCTATTGGAATTTGATTAATGACATTTTAAAATGTTCTCTGTTTGATAGTGGAATTTTAAAACTTGTAAAAATGGGAGAGGAGGTTCTCCAAAATGCCTCTCGGCCCCCCGCGGCTTACCCATCGGTTGTATTAGATATGCCTGCTGGTCAATTTACTGAAAAATCTAAAACCTCCCTAAAATATCTTGAAACTCCCTCTCAAAAGGTAGATGAACAGTTTTATCCTGAACTCCAGGCTGCCCGTTCCCCTCAGGATAATTTAAATCCTGAGGAGGAGGCCACCCTGGAAGAGGAGGTGGCCCAATATCGTCAGCCTGATTGGCCCCCCTTACTCAATCACCTCCTACCTCAGACTAAACCCTCTATCCCAAATATTACACATCCCTCCTATGTGCCCCCTTCCTTTTGTGGCCCGGCCCTTCAAGGGCCCATTGCCCCTCCAGATCCAGATGTTTTTTCTCTCCCCCCTTTACGTAACCTGGCCCCTTTACGTGAGTCCCTTCAACATAGGTGAGAACACCTTCAACTTTTAAAAGAACTACGGTCCCTTGATTATGAACTCCGCACACTGGCTTTGGCTGATACGCCAAAACTGCCTAATAAAATTAAGGTTAGATCAGGCCATCAATCAGTCCTCGCCTTTGCAGTAACTCGGAGCCAGACAGATAGGGACCTCAGAGGATGAGGAGGACGAATCAGAAGAGGAAGAAAAGGAGGGTGAGGAATGGGATACTGGGGATGAAGAGGAACAACCCACCCAGAGAAAAGGCCAACAAGAGTATAAGAGGCTTAGCCTTCAGTTTGTTGAAAAGCTTAAAAATGCATGTGCCCAATGTAAGGTCCGCTCCTGGATGGCTAGCAGACTCCACCCTCTTTGCAGCAAAGTCTCCACCCAGTACCTGCGTTACCTAGGCAACTGGGACACCTGGAAGAGGTCACATCTGCATCCCCTAGATAAGGGCTAGCCCAGGCCCAGACTCTCTCTCTCTCTGCCTTTTTCTAACTCTCTCTCTCTGTTCTTTTCTTGCTCTCTCTGCTCTTTTCTAGCTCTTTTCTCTCTCTTTCCCAGCTCTCTCTTTTGCCAGCTGCGTGGAGTGCCAACCTTGCCTGGTCCCAGCAGG